GCAGGAGTTAATGGTTGACAGCTCTAAAGAAGTCAGGCAAAACAGCTCAGACAAAGCCCAAATCCCAGATACCAAAAAGATGTGAAGAGCTAGGAGATCTCTCATTTCCTGGTGTTTTGGGGTTTGGGGTAAGGCTGTGGCTTCCTTACCTTGAAGGTCATAATGAGATGAGTGAAATGAAACTCAGCCTCCAGGTTCAGCTGGATAGTCACATTTTCCAAACCTGCAGGGGCAGAGAAAAGCAGCTGTGCAGCAAACAAGGACACCCTCCAATCTCTACATCTAAATTTTGCCAGAGTTCTTTGCTCTGGTGGCGCAGAGACTCTTTGCCACTTGGCTGTGTTGTCAAAAAAGGGCCATGAGGGTTAGTGCATTACTGAGGTATAGGGGAGACACCAAGGACCTGCCGAAGACTGTATGACACATGGGATTCCTGTGCATCATCTGCACCAAAGCGTGAGCCAGCATGGCCATTATTTCAGACTGGGTAATACAGCAAACACTAACAGACATAGAGGAAGGATGGGAACTGCTACAGGCTGGATCCTGGCACCAAAGCGTCCAGTGGCTCATACGACTGAGGATGCTGAGCCCAGACCTGCGTGGTGACCCCGGGCTGTCCTCACACCCCGCAGCCCGACTGGCAGCAACAGAGGCACAAGCATCTATAGTCCTAACACCTCCGATGCCACTGATGGCTGGTGGGGACTGTTTCCCACCTCTCTTCACTCCTTCACTCGCTCTGGGCTCTCCTGTCCATCCGGATGCAGCAACAGTTCCTTTACAACCTGTTTTTTAAATATCGCTAAAGCAACTATCCCAGCCCTGCTTTGTGATCGTGAGGGCTAGGAAACCAGTGGCAGGCAAAAGGCTTTCCAAACTCTGTTGCAGACTACCTACCCTCAAGGACTCTACACAGAAAGGAAGAAAAACAATTACAAATATTACTTTGTCATGTGAAAAGACCTCTCAAACCAGCTGGATACTAATTATACTGTAGTTAGAATTTTTTTAAAAAAAAATAACGAAGATTTACAGAGAGGAGAAAGGATAAGAAATTAAAATGATAAGCCAGTAAAGCGCTTCAATTTTCGACCAGCTGTAACATTATGTGGAGCATACAGCCATGGTCCCTTCTGCTGTATGCCTGAAGAGAAGAAAACATGAGCTGGACAGAACGAATCATTTGTTTTTTATTGTTGAAGGACATTTTCATGACCTTATGAGCCAAGAACTTTTCTGTGTGAATGCTGCCAAGCCTGTTGCAAAAAATATGAATTATCTGGAACGCTGTAAGAGAGCTGCTGGAGACACGCGGCTTGCTAGGCTGCTCTAAATGGTTAAAAAGGATTTAGTGAAAACCTTTCTTTACCGGGCAGCAGAAATGTTACAAATATTACCATTTTATTTTCATATGCAGTAAGACAGCTACTGCCAATGCATTATCCAGCTGGCTTTAAGGCTTCAGGGTAGGACTGCTGTTTGAGAAACCTCGACGCCTTGTTTTGTGTATGAAGGCATGCCAAAAGTATAACCATAAAAGTAAAAAGGGCAGAGGAAGGATTAAAAAAATTTTAAAAAAGCCACCAAACTAACATGCGCTTTTTTTTTTAAACTAGCTGGCTTGTTTGTAGTGTTCATTTTACTGCTTAGCATATGGATACAGGAATTCAGGGAGCCCGGGAGAGAGAAGGCAGTTTGCAGGGTGAGCAATATCCTTGGCTTTGATCTCCCGGGGCAAGACAAGGAAACGGGGTCTGCGGGCAGGACGGCAGCCCCCTGCTCTGCGCCCAAACCTCCTCCTTCTACATCCTCCCTCCAGCCCAGCAGTGTGGGGAGGCCGGGGGGAAGCCATGGGGAAGCCCTGCGGTGCTTCCTTGGCAGCTTACTCCTGGAAGGCTGCTCCGCTCCCGCTGCCCAAACATGAGGGAGAGCTGGAGCCAGTGTGGGAAACTTTTCTCTTTAGGAAAGGATTCTTGCAAAGTGGTGGGACGGCTCTTTCCAACACTCCCGAAGGGCTTCATGATGGATTAAGGATTGCTCCAGGGCACACAAAAGTGGCAAGTTCTACTCAGCCCTCCTCCAACAGCATGACGCTTCCCAGGGCAGTAACCACCAGGCCAGAGATAGCAGGAAACCCGCAGACACCCTTAAATAAAAGGAGGGAAAGCAGCTCCCAGCCCTGGAAGTGGCTCCCAAACAAACCCCCGTACCATTTTCCGACTGCCACCAGAGCTTCAGGCGATTTGGAGCGAATGTGGTGACAACGTTTTCAATGCGATGACTGTCAGGATTGAGAGTATCATGGAAGGGATCCTCGGAGTCACATATGAAACATTTTTTGTCCTCCTGAAACCACAAAATAATCAGCATTACTGATTTTACCCACGGGGCAGTAGTTGTTTCCTGCAGATAAGGGTATTTTCCATCCATATCACATTCCACTCATTTTGCCTGCAGGAGTCATCAAAGGTATTTTTTTTGTTGAAATGATAAGTGTATTTACCTTTATGAATTAATGCAAATTGTCAAATGGAAAATATGCCAGGAATTCCATAAACTTCATTTTTAGGAGTATGTTCTCTATTGAAGCTGCAGTTTCAGGAAATCTCTTCCAGCGCACGTATTGTCCAGCAGAAGTCAGAACCAAAGGCAGCATCTACAGAAAACCACTGAATTGCTTCTGTACAAACGTACACGTGCAAAACTGCATCTTCAACAATTTGTGCGAAATAACATTGGCTTTTGGGAGGTAGCTTGGGAAGTAACTTACTTGGTAGTAAGAACTTACTTGGTAGTAAGTTCTCTGCATGAGGGATACCTCTCCAGTGAGGCTCAGTGCACACCAAGGGGCTATCAGCGATTTAGTGACTGAGACCTTTCAGCGCGGGGTTAACTTTACTCTGAATCCAGCTTGTCAAGCTCCTACCTAAACCTTGCATCTTCACCTGCAATTGCAACCCCAAACTCTGCACATAAATCCAGTTTACACACACACTACAAGGTGAACCCATAAAAAAAACATCTGGGTGCAAATCTGGCATGTACTGCTCGGGAAAACTGGACGCATCTTCACCAGGAGGACAAAAACCCATCATGACTACGAACAATGCTATTTTTACACTGTCCTGGTGCCTAAAACCACCACTTTCCAATTTTGCAAAGTAGGATGCGGACCGAACCAAAAGGGAGGGCTCCTGCTCAAGCCAACTCGCAGTTTGGTAGACTGGTGGGGCAGAGAAGGGAGAGGAGCTCATCACACTGCAGCGAGGGAGCCCCCACCACCAGCAGCTCATCTCCGCCAAAAGGTACAGAGGTATCATTCCTCCAGTGGGTTTGTGGAGACAAATGTGATGCTTTATCAGCCAAGAATGTGAGAGCTGACAGGTCTGTGCCACATAGGCTTTCCATTTCACCGATTTCGGCTTCAGCAGCTCCTCCCAAGCCCGGCACTTCACTCCCCACAAGCTCCTGCAGACTCCTCCAGTAGAGAGCACAGCAAGAGCAGGGGTCCCGGGGAAGACGTCCTCTCCTGCTCACTCCAGGTTCCTCTCTCCCAGCACCACAGCCCCCGCCTCATGCCATGACTTGCTCCTTCTCACACCAAAATTGAATCCTAGAAGGCCCAATCCTGCAAAGTGCTCAGCACCACCAAGTCCCATGTTATTAAGAGGATACTCAGCACCTCCCCTCAATTTCTTCAATACCACCTCATGGTTCAGAACTAACCAGGGACATGCCAAATGCTGAAACGGGGCTGTGAGATCAGGCATAAGGGCGCATGTGAACTCTGAAGTGATGCTTTTTACTATGGCACTTCAGCGTTTTTTCGAACAAGAAAGCACAACAAAGGCACTTTGTCGTTCACCAGAGATGCTAATGTCGTTAAAGGCAATCCCGACATACTCCAAAAATCTTCCAGTGAAGCTAAACCCCATGTTACATCAAACACTAACTCTAGTAGACAGAGCAGTACAGTAAAACTAAAGGCAGAGGGGAAAGATTTGGTAACTTCGGGGTGCAAATGGGCCAAGTGCTACAGCCCCTCAGGCAGGGCTCCTCCTGCTTCCCGTGGTTTTCCTTCCAAGTGCCAGAATCCGGCCCTATTGTCTCCACAGCAAATTGGGCCGGAGATTATCCCTTTACTTTCAGTTCAACAAAGTTCCACTTCTAACTGATAGTTTATTCTTCTCCACCATCGCTTCTGTCTCAGAGATTTTAAGTCTGGTGAGCTGCTTCTGGCTTAAATAGTAACGAGCTTTGTGTTTTCCACCAGATGTTGGAGACAACCGTATTTGCATCCTTTCACTTGGAGACCATACAAACGTAATTACATTACGGGAAGAGTGGCCAAAACGCTACCCGGGTCCTACAGACCACTCTCAGTCAGGAAACTGTCTAGACGGCTCCGGGCAAGTCTGAAAATAAAGTATTAATTGAACTTACTGCGGCACATTCCTCTTTATTGACCTCCACAAGGAAAGGGGGGTCGGGAGCCGAAAGCCGCGAGG